GTCCTCTCTTTTGGAGTACAGTCCTCCTTTAAATATTGATATGTAACCATGCGTCTTTATGCAAATTATTCATATACTAGAGAGTACAGTCCTCTCTTTAGGAGTACAGTCCTCCTTTATATATTGATATGTAATCATGCGTCTTCATGCAAATTATTCAATTCTAGAGAGTACAGTCCTCTCTTAAGGAGTACAGTCCTCCTTTAAATATTGATTTGATACCATGCGTCTTTATGCAAATTATTCATATACTAGAGAGTACAGTCCTCTCTTTAGGAGTACAGTCCTCCTTTAAATATTGATATGTAATCATGCGTCTTCATGCAAATTATTCAATTCTAGAGAGTACAGTCCTCTCTTAAGGAGTACAGTCCTCCTTTAGATATTGATATGTAACCATGCGTCTTCATGCAAATTATTCATATACTAGAGAGTACAGTCCTCTCTTTTGGAGTACAGTCCTCCTTTAAATATTGATATGTAACCATGCGTCTTCATGCAAATTATTCATATACTAGAGAGTACAGTCCTCTCTTTTGGAGTACAGTCCTCCTTTAAATATTGATATGTAACCATGCGTCTTTATGCAAATTATTCATATACTAGAGAGTACAGTCCTCTCTTTAGGAGTACAGTCCTCCTTTATATATTGATATGTAATCATGCGTCTTCATGCAAATTATTCAATTCTAGAGAGTACAGTCCTCTCTTAAGGAGTACAGTCCTCCTTTAGATATTGATATGTAACCATGCGTCTTCATGCAAATTATTCATATACTAGAGAGTACAGTCCTTTCTTTTGGAGTACAGTTCTCCTTTAAATATTGATATGTAACCATGCGTCTTCATGCAAATTATTCATATACTAGAGAGTACAGTTCTCTCTTTAGGAGTACAGTCCTCCTTTAATATTGATATGTAACCATGCGTCTTCATGCAAATTATTCATATACTAGAGAGTACAGTTCTCTCTTTAGGAGTACAGTCCTCCTTTAATATTGATATGTAACCATGCGTCTTCATATACTAGACAGTACAGTCCTCTCTTAAGGAGTACAGTTCTTAAAATATTTAAATGTTACCAAGCGTCTTCATGCAAAATATCCATATACTAGAGAGTACAGTCCTCTCTAAAGAAGTACAGTTCTCCTTAAAATATGTATATGTAACCATACGTCTTCATACAAATTATCCATATACTAGAGAGTACAGTCCTCCTAAAATGTCCGTATCAGTACATCAGTACGTAACAACGTTTTCATAAAATAAATCATTATGAAATAGCGTCTATTCTGAAAACTATTACCCCAAAGGAAGCAGACGTACATTTCGGTACTTACAACGTACCTTTTGCTTAGCAATAAATAATATGGTTAATAGTTTTGTTGATAAGAAGAACTTGTGGTACAAACCATGTCAAATCAAAAGACCAATCAAATGCAAAAGAGTCAGGTGTCCAGAAAGGCAGATAAAATTATTTGACCTTGTAGTTAATACTACTTGCAAAAACATCCCACGTAAAAGATCCCTAGATTTCGTTAACAAAAAATAATAATACACAAAATGTTAGAATTTACATCTTGTCATCAAAATCAAAGATTTTTCTGAAAAAGTCTGCTTCCTCGTTAAATTCTCTTAGTACCCATATGTTTTAAAAATGTCTTTAAACAGGAGAATGCAAGTGCTTGTAATTTGGCTTCATACTGCTAATTTGTGATATACGAACTACATTTAGTTTATCGGAGTATAGTTTAACAAATTTGTCCTCTATTTTTCTCCTTAAATAGACAACTTGCTTCTAAAAAGTCATTTTGTAAAATATTGCTGAAAGTTTCGTACAATTATCCAATTTATCACATATCTATCCGTCGTCTTAATAAACTATTACATTTATATCCTTAGATATCCAGTATTTGAATATAGGTCTAAGTTTTAATAAATATGTACCCAGAACTAGATAAACCGAAAGGTAAAAATGTAAATACCAAGAATTTGGTAACTGAATTAATTCTCCATGAAATCCCCAAAATAAGTGAAATAAACTGAATATATATTAACACGATGATACCCGCTAGTCAAATCTAAGCCTTCGTTTTGCTATACATTTGTTAACGTGGCGTTAATCTAAAATTAACCTAGATTTTCTACTGTTAAGTGTTTTACATAGCTACAGATAATGGATTGACACAGTGAGGGGGTTCTGATAATTCAAAAATAAGTTTTTTCTGTAACGGTTTCGAAATCGCTGATTCTGTTAAACTGCATGTCTATTGCCGATCTGTTATTTTTTCAATATAACTTTCTGTTGTAAAAATAAATTAGCTATTTTTCAATGTATCTTTCCAAAAATAAATGTACTTTTAAGTCTGTTTTTAACCGAAACAATTGGTTTTTTGTTTATTCTGTATCAACATGATCACTTAGAATAAGTAAATTATACTCAACTTGCTAAATATTTGTCTCAAGGGTTTGGGAACGTCGTTGTGGTATGCTGTCTTCTCTGAAGCTGGGCTGAACACGGGACAGTACTTGGCAATGTGTTCTGGCAAGTTGCAGTAGAAACGGACAACGTTGTTTCCTTGTCCAAAGTTGGGCTGAAAGGCGTTGAACGGTGCTTTGGGATCGGCGTTGAATGGTTGACGCAGTCTTGATCCTCGTTATCAGCAAAATCAGTATCCGTATACTCTCTGACAGTTACCAACCATGTTTTTCTGCTTTCTTTAAAGGGGCCCTAGCTACGAAGTCAGCTTTAAGTTTTTCCCTTTAACTCATAAATGAAGGAGATGCGTTGTTTTTCTAAAACGATGAAAATTTGTTGTGTTGAACAAACGAACTGCATCAACAGCGTTGAACTCCGTTGTGTCACTACTAAATTAACCATGCATAGAACCTGCTAATTCAGTATACGGGTGACTGTTAAGACGAAAATGGCTTTTTGTATCTGACATATCCAAGATGGCGAATAGTATACCAAACTAACATAGTCATTACTATCTTGTAACGAGCGTCGCATTGGTCAAACACACCTCAAATCTTCCTTATATACTGACTGCCGAAATCATCTGTGCAGAAAGGAATTCAATGGGTATTACCCTATCTCATTTAAATATAGAAAGACCGTTGTATGTAAAACATAGGACCGTAAAGAAATGTATTTTATTCATAATGTGTATTCTTCTCGATTTTGTCATGATCACGTCGTTAGTTGCTTCTTTTATTATAGAACGAACTAAGTATTTTCTTTACAATTGAACCATAATATTTACACAATAGTTGCTCAAAACTGTTATACAGACTTCACAACAGGGATGTACTCCTGACACAAAAACTGCTTCGATAGAGTTATGAGGATGAATTCGACACTTCATCATTTTTACAATCACTATCACGGAATAGTTAACTGTGTCTCAACTAACTAGCGACATTTTGTCGAGGTGTTAGATCTTTAGATATAGTACCAGCATAGACGTCTCATTAGCGGTTTTAAAGATTGAGTCTTACTCCCGATTTTGACATCATGACTTTGTGATGATTCGCGTGATGGGTAATGCATGCATATCAGACGATGCCTACCCTGTCGACGCATCATGTATTGCTTCGTTTTTTAATTCATGCAATTTCCCTCAGTTTATGTTTGTTACTTTGGCTGTTATTTAGTGGTTGTCGTTTGCTGCTGTATATCTTTATTTTCGTATATTGTTTTGTACAGAAATCAGGTCTTTAGTTTTCTCCTTTGATTTGTTTTACATATTATGTTATTTGGGGCCTTTTATAGCTTACTGTATGGAATGGGGTTTCTTCAATATTAAAGGCAATATGGCGACCTATAGTTGTTATCTTGTACGGCATATGATATCTGCTTGAGAGTCGTCTCATTGGAACCATGCCACATCTTCTTATCTTTAATCAATTTTCGAAAATAATTGTCCATACATAATTTCTGAATACAATTCGAAAAAAAAATTAGTGTTTCTTGGTTATTTTTACAAAAGCGACATATCCCATTCAGACATATTGATTTTTTTCAAGTTTTCTACAGTATATATAATATCATTGGCAATTTTCAACTTTAATGAGTTTGCTTTTCTTGTTGCAATAATATTTTGTAAATTTATATTTGTATACTCCAAAGAATTCTTTTTGATAATGTATATTCCATTATAGTTCACATAATGGCCCCGAATAGTTACGTTATCTTTTAATGAAAATATAACGATTTTTAACAGGTGTTCCCCTTTTGAAGGATACATGGTTCTGAGATGGAGAATAATCCTTGCTTTTTTACTATGACTTTCTTTTAAAATATTAAAAATTTGCTGTGATATGGACGATTTCTATCTAGCAATTTATTAAACACAAAAGCATTATTTCTAAAACAATTTTCGTTTTCCTCCCACAAGTCCTCGATACTTATATTGCACTTTTTGTAAAGCTTGGAAAATGTAATGTTGTATTTGATAATGGATTTTGTTCGAGTCATTTATTCCCTGTCTTGTTTGTGTATAACTACATCACTTTTTATTCAAACATCTTTAACATAAACTTGTAGGACAAATGTATATCACACTAAGTATCACTTATTATTTATAGCTACTTCTCAGTAATCTAGAATCACGGAAATCCTTTTTAATTACAATGTATGTACTTCATATAAAAGATAGGAATCAAACGTTTGCTCAAAGTTTATTTAACGTATACCTAACATAATGACCATAACGCAATATAACCCCGATGAAACGTATACAATGTGTGATACTAACAGTATCGATCAGCATATCTATCTCGATTTCGACAGTAAACCCGACATAAAGGAAGGTAACCGTCCATTTCTGAAACGTTCTAAGATTAGAATTGTACTGAGCATTTTGACCATTTTTACAACAGCTGTTTTGTCATCAGGACTTACGTTTGCTGTTCTGTATTTTAATGGTAACTATAATTCGGAGGGAAACCATCGTTCTTCTGTGGTTAACAGAAGCGAGTCGTACGGAAATTGTTAACTGGACATTCTTGGAAATCAAAATTGTACACAGTCTTATGATAAAACGGTTTCAAACTTGAATTTCCGTGTAAAATCTGTAGGAACACGTTGTCCTATTGATTGGTATAGGAATGGCGATGCTTGTTATCTGATACTTCACGAAAAGAGAACATGGTTTCAGGCAAGAGATTTCTGCCGAAGCCATGGATCTGATCTGGTTAGTTTACATAGTAAAACTGAAGTTGATACGCTTCCGAATAACCAATTAAAAGACGAACCGTATTGGATAGGATTAAACGAAATTGATCATAAAGGTACATTTAAATGGAGCGACGGGACGCCGCTTGATTATGCAAATTGGAACACATACGAACCAAACCATTGGAACAACTTTGAACATTGTGTTGAAATGGAGCACTTCTCTCACAGAAAATGGAATGATGGCAATTGCTATATTTCACAAAGTTTTATTTGTAAATTGAGTCTTACTGACAAATGTGGGAACGACAATTGGTATCTACACAATGGATCGTGTTACCTATTTAATCCGTCTGATGACACGAAGTTGTCATGGATTGCTGCTCGTCAATTATGTCTACAAAAGGGTGCAGATTTAATCAGCATTTGTTCGAGTAATGAATTATCATTTGTTCTGAGTCAAGCTTTTCAATTATCTACATCAGTCAAATGGATAGGTCTAAATGATTTCGCGTTGATCGGCAAATATAAATGGCTTGATGGAACTGTTTCGAAAAATCTAACGTGGGCTCATAGAGAACCAAGCGATGATCAACATTATTGTGTCTACTTTGGAAGACTTGGTAATATTTATGAATTGCTTGAATTACATTGTTTAGAAATGTACCCTTTTGGGGATTTTCAGAAAACAATTTTACTTGCATTTTGGCTTAACTTTGCTTTTACAAAATTTAAGCTTGTAAATTATTTTTAAATGTTTGCTTTATGTGTAATATTATTGTACATAATACATTGATGTTTTGCAATTATTATAGAAAAACTGTATATTTGTATATAATGTAATTTTGATGTTATTTTAATTACTGTATTTTAAAATAAAATCTTTTTTTCAAATCAGAGTGATATTGTTTTTTTTTTAGTGTTTGTTTAAATTCTTGATAACTAGGTGCCACTGTTGTGCAGAATGTGTGTAGATTATTTTTGACATCTGGATGTTTATAATAATTATGGTTCTTCACACATTGAAGTTGGTCTTTACTGTCATGTGGGTGAATTCTATTGAATTTAACATCGATAAGGTTCTAAGAGGCTACCATAACTGACATTTGAATGCCGTCAGTCGTATTTTTACGGAGTGTTGGCTCTTTTAAATGATGATTGATGATGTTGGAAAAGTATAAATTAAGAGGTTTTTTTTTAAAATAAGCTACAGATTTTTAAAATGCCTCACAGAAGTAAGTTCAAAAGTGTTCAGTATAAAAAAGGAAAACAACACGTGATTAATTTAATGCGTCAAAAGCGCTTTCTGGAATAACTTTCACCAGGAATGCTGAAAGCCGAATATTTGAAAGCCAAGGATGTATTAGAGCCGAAACAGTTGAAGAGCTCAGCCTATATGACCAAAAGTACCTGAAAAATAGCCAAATTCATCTAAGGTCAACTTTGCCTGAGGGAGTTGAAACCTCAGTTTCTTTGAAATTTCCAAATTTTTAAACGCGCAATTTTAGAAAGTATGTTATAAACCATGTCAGTACCGAAGAACTGACTATTGAGCTGATGATTTCATCGGAGACTAATAGTCCACCAGCAGAGGTATTGACCTAGTGCTTTTAAAAAAATGAAAATAACATGTTATTAAGTTAAAGCAACCGACGCGCTTTTCTGGATTTATCTTCATCAGGAACGCTAAAAGCCGAATATTTGAAAGCCAGATATGTATAAGAACCGATACAGTAGATGGGCTATATGACCAAAATAAAATAAATGATAACCAAATTTATCTAAGGTACACTTAGCCTTGGGGAGTTGAAACCTCAGTTTCTGTATTATCTATAAATTTATAAACGGATAATTTTAGAAAGTTTGTTATAAATCATATCAGTACCAAAGTACTGACTACTAAGCTGATGGTTCCATCGGGGACAAATAGTTCATCAGCAGAGGTATCGACCCAGTGCTGTTAAATATTTAAACAACACGTTATTTATTGAAAGAGTCCGAAGCGTTTTTCTGGATTTGCCTTCATCAGGAACGCTCAAAGCCGAATATTTGAAAGCCAAAGATGTATAAGAATCGAAACAGTTGAAGAGTTATATGACCAAACGTACCTAAAAATTGAATATAAGCAGGTAAATGATGATTCTGTTTCTGTTTTTGAGTGGGATGAAAAGAATGAAATAAGGAAGAAATATGTCAGACCCAGATCCTGCCAAGACCAGAAAATTTGAATGACAAAGCTTTAAAGCTATTGAAGGAAAATGTAACCAAGGTAGATAACTCAAAAGCTATATTTGAATTGAGACCAAATCCTAAAGAACCAAACGTATTTGAAAGATGCACAGACAACTTAATTAGAAGAGACAAGAACACATATACGTTTTTAAATGCATATAGTATCTGTACACTATTCACTACAGCCTTTCATGAACATTTGGAGCAGTCAACAGGTTGAATTTGACTATGATGCCGAGGAGCAGAGAACCATATGTTGGCGACAAAAGGAGTAAGTACCATGTGTAACTATGAGTCCCTGATGTACCTCTTGAATGAGAAGATAGATGAGGAAGGGGAAAAGGCAGAAAAGCAGATGCCACCAACAGGAGGCTGCAAATTGGACTTGCAGATACAGGTCTTTCAAATACCACATTGTGCAAAGTTATGTGACCGTAAGACACCTATATCAATCGAGGACTGACATGCAGAGACAGTTCAATGAATGCAGTGAAATGAAGATCAATATGAACAGAGAAAATATGAAAAAGCGGCGATAAAATGTAAAACAAGCACTGGAGCACTCCGGGTTCCTTACCGACAGAAAATACCATCGGAGAGTGACATACGATACAACAATGCGATGTTTGGACCAAGAACAAAGACTCCATTTCAACATGAGACACAAGCAACAACTACTATTGGTCAAAGTGTAACACATGAAAGGAGATCATTGCTTTGCATGGTGCCATTAAGTTGTAAATCTGCAAAGCTGCCAGCTTTCTAAGGTCCACTGGAGAGAATGCGAATTGTACTGGAAAATAAGGCCACCTTTCGATGAACCTAAACGTATGGAACCCTAACGGTAATGGAGAATTGTATTGGGAATTTCTAGCAGATCAGTTAGCCGAGAAATAAGAGCTTGTAGTTAACTTCAGATTCGGACGGTCATGCCATAAGAGGATTTAGTGAGAAACATAGTGAAGTTGTAAACCTGACACTAGAAAACTTACCCGATCCTAGACACTTTTCGTCAACGCACTACTCACTATTGATAAAGCAGATTTCAGTGAATAAATATTTTCCATGAAGAACAAAGCAGACTGGGAGAATAATTACCCGGTTTTGGCTATACTTGTTTGTCCATTTTGGTTGATACGCTCTTCATCTTTTGATAAGCTTTGGATTTTGAAATATTTTGGCCTCGAGCATCACAAAATTGGCATTGATTGTCGAAATGCCCATCTGGTGTAGACAAATTGGTACCGTTTATGTTATGACTATACTGGGTCGTTGCCTCTGCTGGTGGACTGATAGTCCCAGAGGGTATCATCAGCTCATTCCAGTACTTTGGACAGAGGGACAGTCAAACTCATAGATCGACAATAAATTGACAATGCCATGGCTAAAAAAGAAAAAGACAAACAGACAAATAATAGTACACAAGACACAACATAGAAAACTAAATACTAAGCAACACGAACCCCACCAAACACTGGGGTTGATCTTAGGTGCTCCGGAAGGGTAAGAAGATCCTGCTCCACGTGTGGCACCCGTACTGTTGCTTATGTTATTACAAACACGGTAAAAAGTCTAATTCGGTAGGTCACACTAGATAAGCTTTTTGATTTGATTTTTTTTGGCCTAGAGCATCACTGGAGAAACATTGATTGTCGAAATGCGCATATGGTGCAGAAAATTTAGTACCGTTTATGTTATATCATTATATTTCTATGGGATTCAACTAAGCACAAAACACCAAAAACAGTGACATCTTTTTGTGACGTATATTTAATCTTGAAATTCATACAATTATATGGAACAAGATTAAAAAATTTACAATTATTTTCAGCATTCCAGTCAAAATAATAATCATGACGGTCTTGAAAGGCTATTTTAAATTAATGCTGTATCGACATCATAATCATTTTGACTAACACAATACTTTATTCATGGAAAATGGAAGTGAACTCGACTATAGTCTGTAAACTGTAAAAATAAGACATATGTGAAATGTACCGAAATACAGAATTCAAACCGAAAACGATAAGAAATAACACAATATCCAACCGAAGTTACAAAATATCTTTTGTATTTTGAATATTCTAACTATAATCTGTAGTTTCAATAAAATGAAGTAATCAGTATCAACAATCTGGTCTCCCTCCCTGCTACGTCTTAGGCTCGGAAGCAATTAATATCGAAATGTTTTTAAACAAGTTTGCCACAGAGGTTTCAATAGCATCATAGTTTGCATTTTATTTACATTTCCATTTTCGGATGGTTTTTTAATCGAAAAGGGAGCTTGTGACTAAGATATTCATTCTAAAATGATTTTTAATGAGGGATTATGAATGTATCAGCTAGTTGATATTTACTTTGAAATATATTTACAAAAACAAACTTCATTTAGACTAAATCTGAAAAATTTTCCTGTTTCCCTTTTTCGAACATTTCAGGATAACAATTTTAGTTATGACATGATATGAAACTTTCTGTAGTGAAAATTTACAATTGACAAAATTTCCGGTTTACTAAGTTCGGAGATTTTATGATACATTCTTTGTTTTTCCTAGAAAATTCAATTTTCCGGTCATAACCCAACACTCTCATGGTCAAAATATTACTAAATCATGTTATTTCATAAATAGCATAACTATTCAAATTCTTTAGTTTCCAGGTATTTGAATGTAAATAGGGATATTGTGTTATTTAAATTTGCTGGAATACAATTTCGGTAATAGTTTTGAATTAAGGCAAAGCTCTGATTACTGACCTGGTTATACTTTTGAGATCTTTATTTTAAAGGCTCTTCATTTTTTTTTTAAGTTTTATATATCTAAATATTTTCACCTGAAGCATCACTGAAGGAAGTTTATTGTCGAAATGCGCATCTGGTGTTCACATTTACATCAAATATGTTAACATGAAAAAAGGTCCAATTAACCAATTACAGTTGTTTCTTAGTCGACATTTAGTCTTTCTAATGATTTACTGTTGACAACGCTTATTATTATATACATGTGTATAAGTACATGATTAGAATCGAGGGATTTTCCGTTTTCAATATTCCTCGGAGTTCAGTATTTTTGTTATTTACTTTTTGCAGTAATCTTTGTTTAGCATTGAAATATAATGAGCATATGGGTCTAATTTTGAATCAATGAGAGAATCACACTAGGAAACTCTATAATCATATACAAAAAATCATTATACCATGTGCTTATAGATAACTTCTATCTGTTACAAAATGGCTTCTAGGCTGAAATCCAAGTTACAGAGCAGCATGTTAGAATATAACTCAAGTATGCGTTTGTTGTTTACAACAGAGGCCTACAGCATGGAAAAGAGATGTACTACAATGAAGACATAAGACGTATACTTCATTCTTGGCACCAACAACAATGTTTTGTAATTGTGTGCCTTTACTGTAGACAATCAATAATAGTACCTGTGTTTCATTATTCATTAGGAAAAAAAAATAAGGGTTGGTTGGGCTAGGAAAATCAAATGCAATATGATTTTAAGCCTTTACTATTTGATGTGTT